CTTGCTTTTATAGCAAAACCCAGCACAGCGCAGTCTATTCTAACAGCTTCTTGTAAAGGCGTGGCCCTGCCAACTACAAATTGTCCTCAAGTAGTGGTGAGATTTCTGACATGTCAGGGCTCAGATTAGGGTTCTTCTGGGGGAGTATTTTCAGATCTCTTTGTGGAAAAATTTTGCTCTAGAGGAGGATGCCATTGTGAATTTTTAGCCCCTGGGCAGTGTACAAAGCACTCCTTTGCTGAGTTTTGGGTAAGGTTTTTCAACTGCAGGCACCACCCTACTAAAATGATTTTTATTCATATGTTCTGCACTGTTCCTGGCTAAACAGTATGTGTGAATGTTTTGCTGGTTGTGTTTTGCACTCTAGGCTTCCAAATTCTTGTGCTGGTTTATTTTTTTCAGGAATATATAGAGTGACAGGGCAGGGATTGTGGAAAGGGAGTTGCAGCACTAATGGGTCACTGCTACACAACCAGCAGTGTCCTGTGTTCTTATGGGAGTTTTCTAAAGGCCTGGCAGTCAAAAAATGTGCTTGGATTTCAATTGTACTCCATCAGATGATTTTGCTATAGAAATGTCTGCAATGTGCACTGTGTTCTGATCCCAATGAGACTGAATTTGGTAGCAGAGCAAATCATGATCATTCTTACTCCATTCATCAGCAAAGTCTTCCAATGTGGACAGTAATTTAAAAAATATCTGACTAAGAAGGGCTTTTATGATGGAACAGTAGAATTTTTTTTAATTTAAATTTTTTTTTTTTTTAAAATCTCAGTGGTTTACCATGAGCACCACTGTGAGTGCTTTGATAAAAATCCAGGCTGGTCCCCTTCTAAGGGACCCAGTCATTTTCTCCCAAAGGTCAACTTTGCTCATGATAAAGTGGGGATTGAGAAGCTTTTTTGTCTTCTTTCTTTTAAATCATATGGGCTAATTCCATATTAACTGCTGCAACTCTTATTTCACCACGGTAAAAAATAAATTGCTATAATTCCTTGCCCATAAGTATTTATAGTTTTCTCCTTTACTGACTGTTTTCCTCCTCTGCACAAGACCATAAATACATTAAGGAGCAAAGGAATGTTAGATCAGCTTGCCTTTGACACGTAGACTCTCAAGCTTGCTGATATTAGTTACATGAATTAATCATTTTATGGATTACAGGTTTTCTTAATGGAAGCATCATCTGATTCAAGTAATTAATCCCCCACTCTGAAAAAAATACACATTCCTGGCATTAAGATGACTTATTGATACCTGTTGCCACAAAAATCATGCCAAATAGGTCAGATGTGGTTAAACTGGCTCTTAGATTTCTGAGCAGCAGTCAGGCTTCGCCTGTCATAATTTTGCCTGATTTTCCACTTCTCTGGGAATCATTTAAGAATATAGTAATACAAGTTTAATGAACTGAAATCCCCCTTCTTCAGCTGCCTTGGCCTTGGTAATATATTTTTCCCCCCTTCTGCAGTGAGCAGGATCTGATTACATTCAGGCACTTGCATTTTCCTCTCACTGAGCACAGAGTTGGTCAGCAGTGCAGGGCATGTGCAAGGGAAGGCACGAATCAGTCTGTGTTTGCAGACCAGCTCTCTCTTTCATAGCATGTTCTCTCATGATATGTCCTAGGGAATGAAAACCCTATGGAGCAAGCTGCATACTCAAACTATCACTGAAATTCCTGCTCTATCTGGAATGCCACAGAATCTTTTTGAAGCCTTTGAGTTAGGAAGTGGCATGTTTCTTGAGAGCTGATACTCTGTGTTTTGCAGAAAGTCATGGCAGAAATATCACACTGAAAACATCCCAGTGGATATTTACACCCATTTAATCATCCAGTGGAGAAGTAAGGCATGTATCACTGGTGATATGAATGCTGGGTGTTGACTTTCCAGCTCTACTGGATATAACTTAATTGTATGTCTTTCTTAATAGTATTTGATTAATACAACCAAGGTTATGGGTTCAATCCCTGTATGGGCCATTCACTTAGGAGTTGGACTCAGTGATCCTTGTGGGTCCCTTCCAACTCAGAACATTCTGTGATTCTGTCAATCTAGTAATTTATCAAAGCTCAGATGTCAAGGACTATATAAGCCTGATTTAGCTTCTCTGATATGCGTGAGTCCACATCACCAAGTCACTCTGAAGAAGGCGGTTTTGGGGACAAGCATGAGGCAATGGATCAGAGCAAGGTGAGTGGTTGCCAGTGCAGAGGAGACCTTCAGCTCTGAGAGGCGTTTGTGTGTACAGATATGAAGGCGTGTATCTGTGCTTCAGAGGCAGGTGTGGCTAAATGGGAACAGCCAAAAGTAGGGACAGGGACAATACTAGACTGGTGAGGAACAAAGAAGGAAGGCAACATAGGGTAGATCAGAAGGAAAAGCATTCAGGGCTAGATATGGTGCAGCCTTGTTTTTTAGTTTACTAGGGGAATTAAGTCTCCCTGGCACATTTAATTTTGTGTCATGTCTGCCTTACTTTTTGGTAGTCTGCCTCTGTCATTCACTTAGGTATTAAAATGGCCATTTTTACTTGTTCCTCATCTTGGCAGTGTTCAGTGGGGCTGCCTAGAAAACTAAACCCTCTTCCTTAGTCTTCGAAAGCATAATCAGGGAAGCTTAGTCTTACTAATAAATGTATCCAAGAGAACTCCTTTGGGTATTTCTGTTTTTCTGAGTATTTGCTTTAAAGGATTATGAGTTTCTGCCCTCCCCCAGGGAGATAGTTGGAGTTCGTCTCGTCCTTCTCTGTGTTGTGGAGGGGAAGAGAAATTACCCAATCAGCCTGCTCTTTGATTTTCCAGAAGACCCTTTTTTCACTATTTTGGCAGTTGTAATGTTTTGCTTTCCAGGGATGCTACTGAGACACCCTCTATCCCCTGAGGAACTGTGGTCAGTACTGTCTGATTCCTCCAGGGAATAACAGCAGGAATGGTAGCTCTGTCAAATTAGTGTGGGTTAAGGTTGCCATCCCTTGGGGGGGTTGGCTGGCTTGCCTTGGAGAAAGGGACAAGGGTGTGTAGGTAAAAGACAAATTGCTGTGTGATAATGAGCGTGCATTCACACACTTATTCGGGTTGCTTTAGGCTGTATGAGAACACTTCTCAGCGTATCTTTGTCTGATCTCAGCTAGTGCACTGCAAAACGACGCAGACATGTGAGAGGGTGGAATTTCCACCCGGGAACAGAGAGGCTGCCCACCAGCCCATCGCAGAGCACATTAGCCTCTGTCAAAAGAGGGTGAATGGATTCAGGCTGATCAATGGCTTTGTGCTGGCTGCACTCACTGATTACTATGAGACCATTCATAAATTATAGCTTAAACAGTAACATTTTTCAAGAGCTTGAAACAATTATGTGCATAGACTGAAATAACGCACTGTCATGGTAGTTTTACATTGCGTGTCTTGAGTACATGGTGTTTAGTCTCTGCTGTTGGGAGCCACCATCTGTGCAAACATTTTAACTGATACCATTCTGAGAGGAGTTTGATGAGTGGCACCAGAGAAACAAGTTATTTAATTAATGATTTGGTAGCACATATGGACATGTAATCCCTGGCCAGATGCGTTTGCACATTTTGGGTCTTATATAAGCAGCATGGTAGGTCTTTACACGGCCAGTTACAGGCATCCACAATAAAGTTAATACTGACAAGACCCCATTTTGAAGGCCCCTTTTTTGGGGAGGCTGAAGGTGGGGGTTGCTGTTTGTGTGCACAGCATACCTCACCCCATCTCGTGTTTCTGGTTTTTCCTTTTCAGTGCAGCAGCAGCCCCTTCAGCTGAGGCCCTTCGGATTGCTTTGATATAAACATTCAAGAAGATCAAAGAGAAAGCAAGGCTCAGCTGGTGGCCTTTCCCTTTAAAGCAGAGGCTTTTAGGCCGTGTCTCTGCTACAGATGTTTGCTGGCAGGGCTGTGTCAAGCCAGGTTTGATGAGGAGTTTGATCCCTGTCAGGCAGATTTGTGTGAGGAGAAGCCCTTGGAGCAGATGCAATATTTCTGGTTAAGCTACATGTGCTTGCTTGGCAGGAGCGAGCAACAGATAGGCCTGACTTATGCTCATGGTGCAAGTACAGTTTTGTCAGTTCAAAAGGAATTTGCACATGGGAGATCTCACCCTCCTCATGCAATAGTACCCAGGCTGAACAGTACTCAGGGATGTAGCTCTGCTGTCCAGGAAGCAAAGCAACTGAGCCTAAAGAATTGATACTGCTCTGTTGGCAAAAACTCTGACAGAAATGTGGTAGAACAACTCTCTGGTGTTGAACTGTCTTCTGTTTTAGCAACTGGTTTAGCCTGTGCTGGCACAGAAGCTCTTGCTTAGGCAGGCTTTTTTTTCAGCTGGAATGGGTTTATCCTCTATAGTTTAATTCTATCTCATTTGTTGGAAAACCTTTATATAAAAGCAAGACATCAGTTTTTCCCCCATAGTTGGGTTTTTAGTAGAAATCCTGCTGTGAAGACTAAGAGACAGAAGATGGACCTCTAAAATGTGGCTGGCCTCAGAAGCCTTTCCATTGTGGTGGAAATGCAGTTTTTCGGTGTTTGCCAGCATGGATCATAATTCCAGTGTTCTCAGAAATGTTTCCTCTTGGTAATGCCTTGAACACGTCAGTAATTTTTTAGGCACTTAAGGAGAATTCTCTTCATTTTCTGAATGCTGTGTTTGTAGTGCCAAGGAGATGCATTTTGGGGAAAGCAGCTTAAACTTTAAATCACTAAGATGAAATTATGGGCTGCTGAGACTGTGCTTGATGGAGGTGCTGCTCAGGACACACATTTGTGCCTAAAACCAATATTCAGAACTGCACCTTCTGGAATAGAAGAAGAAATTACTCAAATTTTTGCAGTGAAAGCTGTTCTTGGCTTGGTCTTTAAATGAAATTTAGGGTGTGATACTGTTCTCTCCTGCCACAACCTAGACAAAATCTAGACTAAATTAGTTTTCCTTTGAATTAATTTCTTTTTTTTTTTATTTTTTTTTCCTTGTATAGGAACTAAAGGTGGTCCAGGATGCTGATTACATGCAAACTTTAATGCATATTACTGAACTCCACTATTGTGAAGTCTGGTAAGTATTCTTTAAACAAAGTGTTTGTTCAGTTGGGATTTTTATTAAGAGAAAGTATCTTTACTGAAAAACAAGTTTTTACATATGCTATTTCCTAATGCCCTCCTCTATTTGAATGCATCTGGAATTTACACCTTTCCTGGACCTTTTGTTTTTATCTAAGGTTTTAAGGTTTATAGTGTTGTTAGGTTTACTGGGCTTCCAGTAAGGGATTTTTCTAAATAATGATTTGATTTGAAGGTGTGGGTTTTTTTAAAAAGTATCATCTTCAAACCTGCTTTTGCAACAACCTACTCAGTTGGGAGATTGATCCAAAGCTCTCTGAAATCAATGGAAGACTTCTGACAGGTTTCATGAGTTTTGGCTGAGGCCTTTTTTCAGGGCATTTTTGGTGGTCACTGTTGCATTCTTAAATCTGAATGAGCAGAAAAGTGGATTTATTACTAATAGAAGTGGATCTACAATAACAAAGGACCTGTAGTTCTCTATTCTAAGGGATATAGTTTGGCAAGATGTAGAACAGGTAACTCTTACAACGTGAAAAATGTAGACAACTGGAATTAAATGCAACCAAATGTACCCTGGAACCACGGCTATAATTTATAATGCAGTCAGGAATGCATTGCAGACTCTTCAATCGATAAGCTAATGAGAAAAAGGTCTGCAATTAATTACAAATCAACTGGGTCAATATCCTGTAAATGAAAGATATGAAATTGCTAACATTTGGATGAAACTTCTTTGCCAAGTGTATTTATAAGCCCCATATAAAATATGATATTTATAAAAAGAAAAAAAGCTCCTTTCACTGTTCAAAGGCAGCACTGTGAATGCTTGATTTCCTTTTGCTCTGAAAATTCAACTGAACTATTTCAACAAGTTTTCTACTGCGTATAAAAGAGCTGAAGTAATCTTTTACCTTTAATTCAAGACCTTACAGTGAAGCATAGCAGCTATAAATGGGACTCCCAGGGTGATGCTGCCCATGACTTAACGGTCAAAACATCTGAAATGATGAAAGTTTGTGGCCAAATGATTCTCCTAGTAGATGTCAGGACCTGATGCATTCTGACTGGTGATCTTGTCAGTCTAACATCTTGTTATATTTGGAGAAATAGCCCCAGAAAGGGCATCCAGGGAGTGAGGAGATGGGCTAATGCTGGCACTTGAAAGCAACTTGTTGTCTGTGTGGGTCTCCAGCTTCAAACAACTCCGTGCCTTTACAAGTTGCAAAACTGGGAGAACTGGGAGTGCTACTTACCCGGAATCCTTTTCATCTGGCAGTGATGATTTTTTCCATATATATTTTATAACACTTCTGCTTTTTATTAAAAAGGCAGAGGACAGTCATTGCCAAGAAGGAAATAATAGTATTAAACTTGTGAATCCTTTTTTTTTTTTTTTTAAGATAAGTTTCTTTCATTATCTTGACACATGCTTTTTATTGCCCTTTCAGCAGGGGTGAAGGAAATCAGAGGATTGTGTTGTAATTATATAACATTAATGCTATATGTAATATCATAATGTTATTTTTATAATTTATTATAAAATTATATATTCTATAAAAATAATTTTCAATCTATACTTTATTATAATTATAATTTCTTAAAATATTAAAATGTTATGTATAATGTTATATAATATTATTAAAAATAGCTATTTTTGAACTGTAACACATTAGTTGATATTGAAGAATTTTTTTCAAGCAGATGGACAAAATGCCCTAAAAGACATTGACAATAAATTGAAAGGAGGACTAAGTTAGGGCTTTATTACTTAGTTTCTCCCCTGTACCTTCATAGGCCACTGAATTTAATTTTTGTCATCATAGAATTTCACAGAGATGTTAGCAAGCTTCCCAGGTTGTCTGAGGTTCCTAGGTTGGCTTGTTCACATTTAAAATATACCAGTCCTATTTGTTGCAGAGAAGAGCAATTTCTTTTCAGCATACAAACAAGGAAACCAAGTTCAGCCCACACACTGTTCCTGGTTTCATCACAGAAGTCCAAACCACAGCATCCATGGAGGTTGCTGAGATGTGATGTGTGAACAGGGTACCTTTGTTTTCTTCATCTTTCAGGGTAGAATGAGGTTCCACTTTCCAAGTTAGTGAAAGAAAATATTATCATGTGAAAAGAAAAAGAGAATCTGGAAGAGCATGTGGAAGTCAGTGAGCACTGACCCACTGAAAGAGGACCTTTACCCTACACATGGCAAATACCTGGAGAAAACCTTAGCAGCAGGGACAGAAACTAACTTTTCTAGACTTTCCAAATTCAGAAGTACATTGTTGATAAATTTTTCTTTGCTGCTGTTTTGTTAATTTTTATTTTTAAAAAAGCTCCTTGAACCCCTTTTTATTTAATGATAAAATCCTAATGAATCAAGGTCTTCTCATTTATGTTAAAATTCTAGTATTCATCTTGTAGACCTCTGACTGCAGGTTTAAAACACCAGAATGTTTGATACAAAAATACACTAGGCCTTGAGTCTTACATACAAGGCAGGGCACATAGTAAAAAATATAGCTAAGAGGTGTAGTATTTCATGGTTTTAGAGAAAAATGTCTGGCAGCTTACATCATCAGAAATGACAGGGGTGATATTTGACTACTGTCATTGCAGCTCTAGCTTAGTGCTTTTTCTGACTGCAATGCAACCATCATAACACCCAACACCAAAAATTCTGTACTAATGTTTGAGCAACATTGAGCTGTTGCTTTTCCACCCCAAGAATCTTGTTGTTTAGAGTACCTTACTTTTTTCTCCTCCTTCCCAGATCGTTATGGTTGAGACAGTGTCTCCATCTACCCAAAAATGAGTAGTCCCATGATGACAGTAGTGAAGGAAGCCTTCTCAGAGTCTTGGCTGCTGTGTGGGTTTCGTGAGACTTCCATGAAATGTCTTCAATCTAGACTGTGGTTTTCTTTTTAAGTAGCACATTGCTGAGCTAAGCTAGCTCTGTTGAGGCTAGGAGCATTAAATCATCACCAGCATTGCAATATTTTAGGTGAAAGCATGGTCTGTCTCAACGTGAATGACATCCTTGGCTCATGAGCAGTTTTGTTGCTTGGAACAAGAGTGGGATCTGTTTCCAGTCCTCTCTTCTTTCTTGCAACGTATTTTTTCTCAGGATCTTCCAATAAAATCTGGGGGGTCTATAATATATAGTAAAATGAAGATATGTTAGTGTATTGTAATATGTTCATTAGTATAAAGGTAGGAAGTTAAAAAACCATAATAACTGTTCATAATTTCATTAAGAAAACACAATTTTTTGAGTGCAAATTATGTCATGGTATGTTGTTACAGCAACTAGAAATTCCTATCCTCTTTAACTCTTTCAGTATATTTTATAGACAGCCCTGAAGTTGTCATGCCACTTATTTTTCACCTTCAGACTTCTAGTACTTCCCTTTAGATCATTTCATCTTTCTAGAGACTCAGTTCTGATTTGAGTTCCTATTTCTCACTTGCAGTGACAGTGAGAAATATTAGTCAACCTGACTGGAAGAGGAATTTATAATAGAAATGTCCAGACATGTTTGGTTTTGTTTGTTTGTTTGTTTTTAATAAAAATACAGAATATTAAAGTAAACATTCCCAAATGAACAGTGATCAAATGAATGGCTAATGCTATTTTAATAAAAAATAAGATTTACACAACAATGACAAATATATTATTGTTTTAGTCAAAATGTCAGTGGTGTCACTGGTGATGACATGGGCATCAGCAAATTACTAGAGAAAATGCCTGAATTTCACATGTATAGAAATAGCACTGCAAAGCTAGAACTGTTCCTATTCCAAACACATTCCACCTGCTCAGGAAGTTGCAGATAGATTAGAAATGTTGATGAAATCTGTACAACAAGAAATTATGTTACAGTAACATTAGTTGATTTCCATTCAATCTGCAGAAGCACAATCATTGTTTTGTCTGCATTTTCCTCATTAGATATTCAAAAGAAATTAAATACATGAAATCTGCATTACTATGAATATATTCTTTCATTAAGCTACAGAAAGTAATTGGCACTGAAATTAGATTTCACAATTCATGAAGTCAAGTGTTTTGAAAATTTAAAACACAAACAAATACAACCAAAAAACCAAAACCTACAAGAGTTTTCCGTAGAGATATCTGCATTTTTAGTCAACTAAATAATGCCGCCTCAACAACTCTATTGTAGGCCCTGTTTCATTTCTTTTGACTTTCTCTTCATTTAATCATTGGCTTTCCTAAGTATGAATTCATTATGACAATAATCAGGTTTTAATTTAAATTTAAATACATTCCTTAGTGTATCAAGTCAAGCAGTCTCCCTTCCTTCCTTCTGATGTGGCTTTTTTGGGGAAAAGTGAGGGTGACATTGTGGAAATTTTTTCTGTCTTTGTCATTATTTACTCAGTCACTCTCTTAGGGACAAACTGTGAACCTTTGACAGTCATTAGTATTGTAAGGCTATTGGCATTGACTGGTCTCATGGTGTAAGTGGGAGAAGAAAAGAGTTGTAGTAACAGTATTGTAAGGAATTTGTAAGTGATGCAGCACAGAAGGGTTGAGAGAGCTGGGAAAGGAAGACATCTTGAAAAATATGAAGCTAGTGGTAATTGCTTGTCTAATGCTATATACTGCTATTTCAAGAATTAGCAGTGATCAGTTATTTAAAAAAAATGAAAGGAAAGAAAATACTTCTCCCAGTATTACAGGCTTCTTGTACTTGTTTGTTTAGAAGACTAAAATTCTGCAAAATACCACAGCGTGACCATTTAATAGCTGAGCAGATGACAAAATAGAAAACTAGCCAAACTCTTTGATGGGGTTATTTCTCACCATACAGGCATGTTCTTTCATCTAAATTTCAAAAAGGTAATGCAGCATTTTCTTCTTTAAAAAGACTGAGGTGGTGGGGAGAGGTGAGTCTGTGGTTTTTACAGCCCCCTCTTCTGTTGCATATTCATCATGTCCAGCAAGGGAGGTGGCTTTTTGTTGACATTAAGCAACAAGTCCTGCTCTGGACAGCAATGAGTCTCTCCATCTCAGAAACATCTGCTGCCTGGGGAAGGCATCCAGGGAGTGTGTCGTATGTGTGCTGCTTATATCCGGTGGGCTTAGTTAAAATAAATACTCTGATAGGATTTCTTGCTTTGATTTCCAAGTGTGCTGTTGCTTTGTTCCACCGCCTTGCTCAATTCAGTTCAGTTTACCTAGCTGTAAAATGTGTTCCATAATATTTACTTGATTTACTGTAATTAAATCTTCTGTCATTAGGTCTCCTTTCTTCTAGTTATTGTGTACCTTTATAAGAAATCAAAGTCTCTTCTTCAGTGAAGGTATTGCCTTCATACATAATGTAGAAAGAGTAGCAAGAGATTCTAAGATGAATTAGGGGAAGCCAGGCAGCTGGAAACACAGCTAAATAACATGGATATTCTTTGCAAAGAGAGCTGAAGATGCTGGGTGTTGAAACAACATCTGGTAATTCATGAACACTTATGTTATCTGCTGTTTCTACTGAAGGGGCTAACTTGAATTTTTTAACAATTTATTAAAGGATTTTCTGAAATCCTTAAAAGCTTATAAAAATAATTGTATAAACCACATATGTCTTTTGTGTGAACATTACAAAGTGAGTCATATAAAAACAATATCTGGTAGGAGTGGACTTTTTAAAACATGAATTGCATCAAATTGAAAAGTTATGAACTTTATTTCTGTAAAATTAAAACAACAGACAATTTATCATGAATTTTAAGGTAAACTAACTTTTGCCTTTTCCTTCTTGTATGTTCCACATAATTTCCGTAATTGGTTTTAGCAGCTATGTACATTTATTTAAATGATGTATCTGGAATCAAACAGTCCTTCTGATCTGGCTTTTAAGTTAAAAATACACACATTCATGACTCATACTTAAGACAGCCTATAACAAAGCTCAGTTTTTTTGTTCTCAGGAGACAGCATTGTAACAGCGTTACACTGGGTTACATGGGTTACTTGAAACCAGCTACTGAAAAGTGTGGTGTACAGGGCACTCTCCTGGATTTTTAAAAACTATTTTAGCATCCTGACACAGTGTCTCACTGGTATAAACTGCTGCCAACCGTAGATACAAATTTAGTGTGTCCCCAACCTGTTTTGTGAAATTATGGCGCAGCATTTTGGAACTCTGCCAGTTTAAGATACAAGCAAAAGGGCTGCTAGCTCAGGCTTGCTACTGTAAAACATTAAAATGATGATTAATGGGAAACTGATGGAATTCAGTCCTACTCAGGAAATTCAAAGACCTAACAGGGAAAGGAGACAGAAATATGTATCACGGCTGTGGGGCCTGATTTGTTTTCTTGAAACTTGATTCTCTGTCTGAAATCTGCTAGAAGTTAGGAAAGATCAATAGCATTTGACTGTGTGCCCTAGGCAGGAAAGGATTGCTCCAGGTAGTGGTAACAAGGGGTAATTTGAATTTGGTGCAATTTTTCGTCTCCTCTCTTTTCTCATCTGCCAAATTCACTTTACTTTGGCACTGTTTTTTCTGTGACCTTTTCATTTAACTTGCTTCTGGGGTTTGTTAGTTATTTTCCTTCATTACCCTCATCATCTAACCCAAGTACTTACCACTGCTTACACATCCTTCTCCAAAGGTAGGAATCAGAATCCAAATCCAGGAGAGAGTGCTTGGCCAGCATTAACAGCTGGACATCAGCTAGTGAGTGCAAAGTTATTAGTCTGAAGAGTTGGTCAGCACCAGCTTTTTCCCAGTTTTTGAACAGTTACATGGCAGCTTGGAAACCCCTCATATCACAGGGAGACATGAGAGAAAAAAAGGAAAAGGCGCCTGTTCAGAGTTTCACTTTATTGTCTGAAAAACTGTGCTTACTCTTATTCTGTCCTTTCTTCCAAATGCTTCTGCTCCTGCCTCTTAACTTCCTCAGCAGTACAACGTCCAGAATCTGCTGCTGAAGTGACTGATTTATGTTTTGAAATTCCATTGACTACATAAAGTGTGAGGATTGCTTATCTGTTATTACTTATCTATTATTGTCCTAGCAAGATTCCACTCTGGGCATTCATTTTAATTGCTCAATAAATTTATTCTTCATAAATCCTCTCTCCCCAGTAGTTTGGAAATGTGAATGGATCTGAATGACATACAAGTAAAATCTGACTTGGTTTATACTGCTATGGATTGAAGATATATTGGTATGTTCCTTTAACTCTATATTTACAACAGGTGAAGTCAAGGGAAGAGAACAGTTATGTATGTTACTTACACAGAAGATTCTTCAAATAAAGTCTTCACCAACATTGCTAGAAATACCCACAACTTCAATCTGATCACATTTAGGTAACTTAATGTTTCTGTATCTCATACTTTTTGTTTTGTGATTGCATTATAGTTGTGCAACAAAATTGAAAAGAAATAAGTAACATGTTTGGGGGGAATTTCACATCATTAAGTTGAAGTATATAATTTCCTTTGAAAAATTAACATGGCAAGAGATTTAAAAATATGTGTTAATTTTAATAGATACAAATTACTGTAATCACATCAAGATATAAATTACTATAATCATGTCCGCTTAAATCTTTCCATGATTATAATGCCACCCTTTTAGTGTCATGTTTCTAACAAGATATTAATTTCTTGTTGCAAGTAGTTTTTGAATGGGTATAACCATGTGTCTTAAAGCCCATTGCTCTTGGGGAAGACAACTATCACTTTCATTGGCAAAAAAAAACAATGCACAAAGGCAAGAGAAGTTATTGTAGGTGAATGTGCAAGTAGAATAACTGTGAGTCCATAATGACCTCACTACTGGAGTGCCAGGCCATCACTACTGTTTAAAAACAGTTGTGGTGATTTCACAGGGAAACTGGAATCCAAGGAAGCATCCAATGCCAACACTGACTTCCTCCAACTTAAAAGAAAAAAGGTGTGGGGAAGGGAAAAACTCTCAGCAGAGGAGACCTGATGTATATAACACACCAAGAGCTCTGTGATTACAAGGGGTTTTTTTCTCCACTGCTGTATGAGCACCCTGGGGCACTGCATGCACACTTCACAGAGATCATCTGTAGAGAAAACCTGTGCCCTCACCACTGTGGATATTTAGTGTAACTTGCAAAAATTGTTATGACAGTGGAAAGGGACTGCTGTTTTCTACAAATTTAAGGGTAAAGTGTTATGCTATTTAGCTCCTGTTCTCATAAAAATTAATGTGGACTTTTGTAAGTGAAAACAAGGGAGAGGAGACTGTTTTGTAACACTTTTTCCAGTGTGGGAAAGGGATAGGAAAGGGAAAAGGAATTGTTTTGCTCTTGAATTTTCTGCGGAATAGTCAAAGGAGGTTGTTCACAATTTACAGGTACTTGCTGTGTCAGGGACTTTGCCCCTCTCTCTCTTTTAGGTCAATTAAAAAAAAAAAAGAAAGAAAGAAAAGAAAAAAAAAAGAGGTGATATAAAAGGAAGTGACTTCTAAACTTCTGATCTCTTTTAGCTAACTCCTTGCTTGATAGTAGTTTTGGCCACCTAAAATTTAAATAACTTTTGAGAAATATATTGTCCAGTGAAATCTTTTCCTTCTTTCATCTTAATGACTGAGCCTGTTCATTGAGAAGAAATATGTAAATACTGTTATTACCAGAGAGGAGAGTTAATAGCCTTTAATGGCTTAGATTCTGTTAACAGTCATGCCCATGAGGAACTCCTTACACAAGTAGTCTTGGTAAACTCACCAGGAGTCTTCATGTGGTAAAATTACTCATACAAATAAGTGTTTGAGAGCAAAATGTCAGTATTCCTCTCCCACATTCCTCCTGTTCCTCCATGAAAAAAAGCCAGCACATGAACATCAGAAGACATTTTTAGTCTCATATGTCCCAAATAAGGATTTAATCTAGACTAAACAACTGTTTTGAGTATTTGCTGTAACTATTATTGAAAATGTTTTGAATTTTTCTATTCACTTCCTAGCTTTTAATTCTTGATTTAAATCATCTGTAGTGTTCCTGCTTTGTGTGTTCACTTGCTATTTAATGTTTAGTATATCTTTTTATTACAATTTAATAACCTCTACAGTTTAGCTGTATTTTACTGAAAATGCATTCATTACTCTAAAAAGCTTTTGGAATGAGTGGTTCATCAAAAAAGCTTGAATAGCTCAATCTTATGTCCTGCTAATAAGGCACCACATATTTGTTTAATTGTAAGTGCATATTCATGGCATTTACAATCAGCTGCAGTTTAGTTTTCAAAGACATGCTGTCTTTAAGGAGCTGTCATTTTTTTTGGCATGAGGTTACTTGAAAAGTCACAATTTCCCCTGCAGGTACTGAAGTTATCTAATTACATCTATTTATTTATTACAATTAGTGCATTCTTAGTAAGCTGTTTCATGGATAAATGTTTAAATTAATCACTAAAGCAACTCTTTTTCTGAACCGGGTAATAAAACTGATTACAATAGACCTGTGAGTTTTTGGAAGCAGGTATGCAGAGTTTTCCATGGTGATCTGGGGGGGTTTGGCTGTTTGGGTTTGTTTGGAGGCTTTATCTGTTTGGTGGTCTTTTGGTCTGCTGAATTATCCTTGATCCTAGTGGTAAAATAATAACTAACTGCTTTTAATTTAGGCTGATTGTGAGCCAACTCTATATCCACTGAGGAAGTTAACTGAGGTACGCTGTAATTAGGTCTCTGCAGCACCTTCCTCGTACATAAATAGGAAAGTGGATTCCTTGTTGTTTTTCTGTGGTCAACAATGCAACCGAGGAACACATCTGAGTGACAGGTACTCACATTCATCTGGAATTTTTAATCACAGCTTAACACTTGTCAGCTTCGAAGTCTATACTCTTGGGAAATTAGTGTCACATCATGTGATGCAGTGGTTGTAAGGCTGCAAAGAAAACAGATTGTTTGATTGTGTTTTTTTTTTTCTTCTGTGCCTGAGGTTAACTGTCTGGACAGCTGCGAGTCAAGCCTTCAAGACACGCTGCTTTATCTGATTGGTCTCAGTCTTGATCTGGCACATGAAAGGAAATGTGAGGAAGTTTCCAGCAGAGATCATTTTGCAAGTCCAAAGATGAGGGTAAGGTCAAGTTCACTTGTATTTTCACAGTATTTCGTTACAAACATCAACCAAAGTGCCACACAGGCAACACAAGTTTAGTACAGCAGTGATTTTCACCTTTAGGAGATTTCCACTGCTGGAGAATTTTTCATATTCTGTTTACCAGCATCAAAAAGACCCACCACAGTCAAGCAAGAGCAGTTACATTTTTTTAAAGGTGACTCTTCCTTCTAGGGCCCAAACATATGGTGACTTTATCCAAGTTCTGATGTTTAACTTGCACAGGTGTTGCCAGCCTCTCATGGGGCTGCAGGGTAATGTTAGCATCTAGTTAAGGGGTAATTCATGTTACATTAATTTAGCCTGTAATGTTACTGTAACTGCTTTTCTCCTATAGGAAACTACCACTTCTTCCATGCATTCAAAACTGTGGGGGATACTGCAGGACTCTCTGAGGTGGGAAAATACAGCTGCGCTTTTTTTAATTTATTTTTTTAAACAGTGTCTTTTATGGTTATTGTGAGCAGTGTGTGAAACTTAAGACTTCTGGCCTGCAGGGTGGACGGATCTGTCTCTGCCCCAAGAGGCTCACCAAAAACATTTCCTGAGTTATGGATGAGCATTGCCTTACAAAGCCAATCCTACAGACTGCCTTCCCCCTGGAGACTGTTCCAGTCTCAGTGCTGGCTGCTCAGTTTGTAAAGTTTTGTCCTAGTCCCACCAAGGCCTTGGTGAGATTTCCTAACTACTTTTCAATTTCTTAAATATGTATATAGTTATGCTGCAGTGCTTTATGGCTTTATGTAATCAGTTTTTCTTATGGCAGAATTGTTGGTTAGCTGTACATTTCAGTGAAACCACAATTTAAAATTTTGTTAGCTGTTGTAACATGCAGTAAATTCTGTGGTTAAAGGAAGAGGCATATTGAGGGAGCCTGTGTACTCTTCAGTTCAGTCACCCAAAATGCTATTTTGTGTATTCTGTGCCTGAGGAACAGGTCTTCACACTTGTGACTGCTGCGTAAATATGATGGTTCTCAACATCTACTACAGAGAAGCAAGAGGGGCTTCTTCTGTCCTTTTTTTGAGGCCTGCAGATGTCTTAATCTGAGATCTTAAAAAGTAAAGTTTTCATCCCCCAAACTAAAAATCCATACATTTAAATAAATTGGCCTTCTTTATGATGTTTTTTATATGTGCCATGAAAATATAGGATTATAAATTGCCTGTAGAATATCTTAATAGCTGTCAAGCAAATTAATCTATCACTCTAAAAATATAAACAAATGCAGCCAGTGCATTGGGTAAAGGAACATCTCTCTGAATCCTTTTGGCATCTCTTTTCAGAGGCAATTACAGTGGTGCAAATTAAAATGTAATATTGAAGTAAAGGTGAAGTGGATGATGTGTTGCTAGACAAAAGTTGAAAAGATAGAGCACTGATCTGTTCCAAATTAGTTATGGTTTTATTTTATTGTAAATTCTCCAAGGTTTTAATCTGTTTTAGATTTGAGGATGGGTGGGTGGTGGTGGTTCTTTTGTCTTCAGAAAAGCATCTTTTATAATCAAAAAGGCACCGTCCTGGGATGCTCTGGTCACTTGGGTGGTTATTAGGGAGAGCTGTGCGCAAGCTGGCACCAAACTAAACCCTCAGTCCAAATCCCCACTGTGCTCTGAGAGGAGGATAATACAAAAATGAGCATGTCATGTCCTCGTGTCTCCTTTGCTGGGATGATTTCATGGGGAATAATGATAGGTGCATGTTCAGCTGACCTACAGCAATTGACACACGAGTGCCCTCCCATTAGGAGCAGGGTATGTTCAAAAGGTTCAGTGTTAGGGCAGTTTTCATTACTTCCTTTAAAAGTTCCTTCATTTACAAATTCTCCCTGTCTCGAAGCATTTCTCTCTTTCTCTGTGCTGTTTTCATAATTTTCTCATAATACCAGTAAACCATGCTTCACTTCATGTAATGCTTTCTTCCAGGGAGAGCTGAACTCCATACAAATTTACCCTGATCAATCTGTGTCCAATCTGTTACTGGCTTGATCAGATAGAAATGGATGATATCAGTGAAGCTGGCACATTGCTCCTAACCTTTCCTGATGGTATATTCAATACTGCAAAATACCAAAGGTCTAAATTTAAAGGAGGATCTACAAAATCAGTCCTCTTTCCAAGAGATATTTAATACATCTCTCGTCTCTCTAAAAGTCTTAGTTTGAAATTAGGTTTTGCTGCTGTTTGGTCTTTATTTCCATTTAATGCCTAGGGCGTGCCACATTCCCTCAAAGTACACCCTAGCTTTCAACTTTTCCTCATTATTTTGCAGGGTTTCATAAAGAAAAGTAATGAGCATTTGCCTTTCAATGGACCTGTCCTTCCTTTTCAAGGCAATGTCTTTTATTATTGTCTTTCAAAGAGCAAATCAATCCCACTAAACTTTTTATCCTAATGATTTTTTTCAATTACTTTGTTTCTTATTTCACATCTACATTAGTATAACTTTGGTCTTTTCCCTTAAAAAAAAAACAAATACAAAAAAAACTCCAAAACAACACATTAATACTCACTTATGTCTTTTTACTTTCCAGCTTTTTTAAGGCATTATTGACTCTCACCTTTGTGAATGTTTGCCCTTGAAGTTTAAATGTTTGTAATAAACACACACTTTTTACTGCTATTATTAGTAGGTATGGCCACAAATTAGCTATTTCAGTTCAAATTCAGCTCCCATTTCTCCCAAGGTACCATCAAGAATCCTTCTCTCCTGGCCAGCCTTACAGCTGAGGAGCAGGGAGACCAATTTCAAAATTTTAAGAACTGCATCAGCATAATTTTGGTTGTAGTCAGGAATAAGACACAGTCAAAAGGAGGTTGTTTTGGGGAGAAGTAATAGCCAGTCTGTGATATTAGTTGAGAAAACTCCAGTAGTGTCATGAGTAAATTGTAAGGAGTTTAAAAAAGTTCTGACAAGGTCCTCTATGTTAGCAAAATTTATATTTTAGGAATTCTGCGTATTCTGTTGTCAATTTGTAATTGACGTTCCACACAGAAAGACATTTTTACCAGGTGAACAACACAGGTTGCCTTGGTCGACTGGCAAAGCCCATTTGTGCAGCATGTACAGCAGCTTTACCTCACTGTAATTCAGCCTTTTCATCTCTTTCCTCTCAAGTTCACGTAGATTCCTCGTATGCTGATATTTGTGCTACAGATGTGTATCTATTTCTAAGTTTTGAGAAGACTGGTGTTAGCACCTTCTCACTGGAACAGACGAGATGTTTGTCTGAGTTGGGAAGGTGACCTGAAAGCTGCAGAATAAGATTTCAAAGTCTTGGTCCAAGGGAGAGGCTAGAGCAGTATCAAGTTATCTTAGAAGATTTGGATCTAGTTACAAAAAGACAGGTTACACTCAAAGGCATTGGAAAACTGCATATTAATAAGCTTTTCTAGGGTCAGTCTGTGGGGAGGTGCTGTAATATAGAGGCTGATAACACAGGCTGCTTCAGAAACCCAATGTTTTGTTCTTTGATTTTTTTTTTTTTTTTTGCATTCTGCACCATGTATTAATTCCTTTGCTTAAGTTACTCTCTAATTTACACACAAACGTCCCAGGCCCCTTCAGTTCCTCTCTATCTTAGAAGCAGCAGGAGGAATTCAGCTTTTCCTCACTTACTTTTCAGCAAAACACATTAATAATTGTTTTTTAAATAGCAAATAAACTCAGGCAAGGAATCCTGCATTTTGAAAGGCAACATTTAAAAAAACAAAGACTGATGGCCTCTTGTACCAATCATTTCTTGTTATAAAATGTAATTTTAATTACTCTCTGTGGATTCAAAACATCTTTTTTCTAGGCATAAGTAAAATTTTTTTCCCCTCTGTCTTACAAAGGAATATACCATCAAATAATAAATATTCTATTCATAATTTTTTGCTCACTGTGAGTTGCCTCTTAAATATACACACATTGTAAGTTAACAATAAGAAATCCTAATACAATCTATATTGAATAGTCATGTAGATAATTCAGGTATTTTAGTGTACAGAATCTAATAACTCTTAAAATTAGACCAAAATGACAGAAAAAGCTGTTAGGATGCAACTTTCCTAGTACATTAATCCTTCAGTATTTCCATATATGCTACAACTAATGCTGTTAGGAAGGGTAAAATGCAGTGATCCTACATTGGTTATAGGATAGCTGATATCTGGGCTCTGAGGAACACTACACATACATATCCACCCTCCTGTTTTTACAAATTGTGTTTCCCAACATTGTTGATTTTCCATTTTAACAAGATGTAAATGTATTTTTAAACAGCAATTGCAACTGAGGTGCTCCTTTAAAGGGTTTTCTTTTCTCTAAAAGGGCTTTCTGGCCTCTGGTTTCTCCAAGTCCTGGAAGCTTAAAGCTAAATACTCCCATTAGGCTGGTTCAGGTGGATAGGAACTTTCAGGAGGACCATTTATATGTGTTTGACGTTCATCAGTAAGGAATGGACACAAAGGGTAAAGGGGTGTTACAGACACACTACTTAGCTTATGCCTCTAAGCCAGTCACAAACAACAGGTACCTCCTTAGCAGCCTTGCATGGACTGGCTTTTGTGTAGGGTGAGGATGAATCTTGGGGCCAGTCTTTTTGGTGACAACATAAATGAATGTAGGGAAAATTAATTTACTGAATTGTCTTCTAGGTCATTGTTTCACCTCTGGAGGAAGATGGAGGAAATCCATGCGTGAGAAAGCTACCCAGGGATATTTGACAAAAAAGACAACTGGCTTGAAGTCCCTGAGCCAGAAATCTCTGGGAATTGGGAGAAGACACCTGGGGAAGTGTTGATTACTCTTCTGCTACAGTTTTCTGCATTTATCTTTCATCACACAAGGTAATTTGGCTTAACCTAGTACAGCTGTTCTTACATCTTGCACTTGGATATATATGGATTTATTTTTACACAGTGGATATTTACATGTCTGTTTTAACTACTATGTGGTACAGGTTTCCTAATTCCCCTTTAGAGACAGTGGGGAGCAAAATATTCTCACAGAAAGTGTTTCAGAGCAAAAAAAAAAAAGCTTGGGTTCTCTTTCTGCAGGTAATCCTTGATCCACTGATAGCAGAGGGAGGTAAAACAGCTGGACTGGCTGATATAAACTGTGCAGTGTTGAGTGGTTTCCCCCATCATCACTGAATGTACCCCTTTAACACAGAATGTGCTCAGTCTGTGGCAAGTCCTGTGTAACAAAAATTTGCCTTGTGCTGTTTCAAAATACCACATCAGATTTAACAGCAAATAGCAATCATAACGCAATTATTACAGCTACAAGGAGAGCTAAACACAATGGGGCCTTTTGTTGGGGGTGTGCAGCTTTTTATCACTGTTAAGCTGCAGTGTAAAATTCACTGTATGTCTCAAGCCCCCAAGGGGCATGTCTTGACCCTTCTGACTGCTGCTCAGCAGGGCAGATGGGGCAGCTCGGGGTCTCTGTGAATTGCTGTCATCCTGGGGGAGTGTTCGCTGCCAGCACACAGAGCCCAACAGAGGAACACGCAAAGATTCACCCGTGCTGGGTGGGACAAAGAGGAGGCTGTGGAAGGTGGGATGAGGTACCACAGTTTGGAAATTCTGGTGTAAATGTTTGTGACTGAACATGCACCCTGAGCTGTGCTGGAGCTGCCATGAATCCTGGTCCCATGGGCCTCCAGCTCTGCCTGTGTTTTCTCACTTTACCTGAGAGAAGCAGCAGAATAATAAAAGACTATTTCTGACACATTTCACCGTTTTTTTTCCCCTCCCTCTCTTTGTCTGGGATTATGCTGACTGTAGCTGAAACCCTAGTGCCCTCTTCTGATCTTGAAATAGGTGTCATTTCTCAGCACACCTGTCCCTGCATCTCCTGCTCAGCAGCCGATTGTTTGAAGTTAGGCGAGCATTTGGGGACAGATATTTTAATTTGTAATCAGCTTTAAAGCTTTCAACATTTACTCTGATCAGAAACAGGAGCTTAGTCAGAAATTAGCCTTTCCTATTTAAAAAAAGCATTTTTTTTCTCCCCTGGCAGGAGCTGTAGGCTTGATCTGAAGTCCACAGAAGCAAAAGGATAAATCCTTATCAGCTGTGGCCCAGCCCTTCACACAGCACGTTCCCTGGCCAGCAGAGTCACTTAGGCTGAAAGAGGCATACTATTACAAGATCTTCAAGGGACAAAGACTAATTAAGGATAATCTTGTAGAAAATGTTACTTTTTCTGGACGTGTTTAACATGGGAAATAGTGGTAAGTGATAATTGTACAATTCCTTACTTATGGGAGGCTTTCCAGTGCTAGTAAACCAAATTTAGTTTATGTGTCCGTATATCTAGACAGACATATGTAATTTCATATTACATATATCTCTTACACTCAGATAGCTGCAGACTGTATGAATTAGTTCATTCATCATTTCCAGGCTGCCACCTCTGGGATGGAAGGCAGCAGCTGGCAGGGAGCAGACAGCAGTGCTGCACAGCAATGTCGGAGTCAGAAACTCTGCATCCAGTTTGCATTGTAGGGCGGTTCCATGCCAGGGGAAACTAGAAACCTCTTCCTTATAAAAATGCAGTTCATTTTCTCAAATCATCTTAAAATCATATTTTTTGCTGATCAACATTGAAAAAAAAATTTAATAGAAAGTTTGCCCTTAAAGAACATGATATATCCAAAATATGCTAAATGTTGGTAAATCTTGTAACACTAAATTTAATGCAAAATAAGGTTATGAATTAATTTTCACAGTCCTGGCTTTTCTAGACTGTGGCTGTTTGCTTACATTTTGAGCAGCTAATATTCTGCAAACTGAGAGTTGTGCTACTGCAAATAAACATTCTCTACTGACCAAACTATTTGTTGATAATTTTAGATGGAAATTGTTGAGAGACTGATGGGCAGATTAACACTAAAGGCCTCTCTAGCAAGAGGTTTAACAACACATTAAGCAACAAAAGGGATATTTATAGCACATTCCTGGAATATGCTTTTTCCAGCTCTCTATTGCCACCTTGAGTCTCTGACTGCCTTCAACAGAAGAACAAAAAAAAACTGGGGCGTAACACAGAGAGACAAAGGGAAAATGGATTTCCAGTCCCAATGACCAGAGCCCTCTCCAGTCATCAGCTGTAAGTCATCAAGCATAACAGAAATAACATTATTTACTTTAACTGAGGTTATACACGTTGTGCCACAGTAGAGCAAGAGCTGAAGCGAAATGCCAGAGCAGTGTGATGTTGGTGCATATTTGTTGTAAGGGATTGCAGAATGAGGTTCTTGGAAAGCAGCTGAGATTAGGGCTGATGGGGAATTCTTGGATACGTGCATCACACACACACACCTCTGGCAGAGGAGCTAGTCAGAGTTGATGGTGTATTTGCAGAGGAAGAGAAGAATTGTGAAAGGACTATCCTTCCTCTATGCAGATGTTTTGATACTGTTCTCTTTGTCCTATAATTGCCCTTCACAAATTTTTCACTTTCCTCTGAAAACCAGTCAGACCAGGAACTGCAGTACCTGATCTTTCCAATCTCATATTAACTACAGACTAAAGAAAAACAATGGATTTCCAAGTCCCTTGGGATAGGTGGCATAAAAAGTAGAAACCTGAGGCCTTTCCTATGTGGACATTTCTCTGACACCTCCTGCTTTCTACCTTGTAATGTTCAGACTTTTTAAAGGTTTATAACTTTTAGGAGTCTTTTAAAATTATTATTATTATTATTCCCTCTTCTCTCCTATTGCCTTATTTCACACTTGGTGACAATGTTTTCAGACAATATTCAGAACTCAGTATTTTATGAGTAATGAGTGTCCCAGGCAACAGGAATGCAATTGTGAGGTCATTGTTACTAATTGAATACTTGCTGGGGGATCTCTTTCCCCCCACTGAGTGCTAGACATGTACTAAAAATAAATTGCTAAAACTTGATTCTAATGAAATCTACTGTCCATAGTCCATTTCAGACTCTTTAGTGTATTTGAGCACAATATTAGCAATCCCAAGTACTTTACTCTTCCAAACAGAGGATAATGTTTTAAGGTGCCATTTACACTCTTCTCTAATAAATTTCACAGTCATAGACACTAAGAAAGTTTAAACTGTGCTAGCACAGGGTTAAATTAAACCCTGATGAGTTGGATTTTTCTCCCTACTTTTTGCTGCTGCTTTACTGCAGCACATATTGGTCTTTTCTCTTGGCTTGTTGACCTGTGAGCTTTTTAGCATGTGCCAAGCTGAGAACCAGCTTCTAGACCCTCCTGCCTGGTGCAGGGGATATGCTGGGGTAAGATAAAGAGGTGTGATTCCTTAATCCCCCAATGCAAGTAAAAACTATGAAGGTGTCAGGCCTCTAGGCTGTTACTCCATAGAACAGCTGGCACAAAGGAAAATTTTATGTTTTGTTCCTGCTGCAGCTGAAAAAATAGGTATCTCTGTAGTCCTCTGGTTTTGTACTCATTTCAGTACTCACACTGCCTTCCTGGGACTTGGATGATTCTTCAGATACTGGTTATGTATCAACTTTAGCATTTCTTTGAAAGAATGGTTGAATTTATTGGATTCTGCCTTCTGTACTCTGCTGTCAATGGCCTTCCAGAGAGGTACTTTGGCACACCCATCCTGGGCTCTCAGAATTCATACAGCTGATTATTTTTAATAACATTCTTGGAATAAATTCTGGATGGTGTGTTTTTATTTATATTGATGTCATTGCACTGCTGCAACTCTGCCTTCAATACTCCTTTTTATGTATTTCATGCAAGTGCCACATTAAATGATCATGGGATTCTTGGAAAAGCAACAGGAAATTATATAATGGTGCCCGCAAGTCTGTGTATTGACTTTTCCACAGACTTGCTGGTCTCTGAGCCTAAAAATTGTTGGTAAAACAAAGATATTTGATCTTATTTTCTGTTCTTGATTCTTGTTAGTGACCAAGACACTCTGGTCTTTTGCTGTTTTGTTGTGTTAAAAAAAAAAAAAAAAAAAAGGAAAGAAAAAAAGAAAGTAAACAAATTATAGAGATTATTGTGGTTTTGATTATAAGGATAGTTGTTTAATTTAGTTGCTTTACATTCCTAAGTAACTACTAACAGGATTTCATATGGACACACTGTGTTATCTTCAAGTAAGCTACAACTTGCATTGAGATGAGCAGAAATGTCTGTACAGAGTCATAATTCTGGTACAAAACTTGTAGGACATGGAATAAGTAATTATCTTTCAAATCGAACTCAGTACATTTAAACCATAAGGCATAAGCTATAAAAATGGAGGAAAGCTACAGGGAAAGCTGTTGTCTGTGGCATTGTTCCTCAGTAACCTTCCAGAGATCATGAGCTGTGGAGGGCAAGGCAAAGATTTTTGTGGAAAATTATGGAAAATCCCCTGATGACGATGTCACAGGAATAGCTGCAAGGCCTGTGCTTTTGGCCCTATCTAAAGGGATCTCAAAGTGCTTCTTGGAATATTTTGGATATTTATAGCTGAGAATTCAAAATCTTTTTCTCTTTGATGGCCCAAAAATAACTTTTCTTTTGAAGATATGATGACTCTTTCTGGTTTAGTGTGGTGATTTAACCAAATAACTTTCCCCTTTTATGGGTCTAGTTTCCATCTGAGGGATCCAGGGATACCCCCTAGATGCTAGAAATAAATGACCTTTTACACTGTTTGGAGCCTTCCAGCCTCATCTGGGTAATTCCTTCAGTAAATTCCCTTCTTGTCTAGGATAGCTGATCAATTCCTCAGGCCAGGCTAGCTTTTCACCACATTCCTTTAAAAGTCTCATCACGGGATAAGTCCCAATAGGTCCTAGTCTAGCACAGTGTCAGGGTGGTGACAGTGCCTGGCAAAGGACTGTCTCCTCACTTGTGCCATGCTGTGACACTGGCTTGCCAGGAGCCCTTGGTGATGCTCCTGCCTAGTGCAATCCCATATATGCTACTGCAGAAGGTACAAATGCAGTCTTAAACTGACAATCAGAAGTCCAAGGAAAGGAAAAGAGCAGTCTACCTGCTCTGAGACCTGCAATCACAGAATCACAGAGTCAACCAGGTTGGAAAAGACTTCTGAGATCATCAAGTTCAACATGTGGCCCAACATCACACTGTCAACTAGACCATGGCACTAAGTGCCACATCCAGTCTTTCCTTAAACACCTCCAGGGATGGTGACTCCACCACCTCCCTGGGCAGTCCATTCCAATGTACAATTATTCTTCCTGCAAACAACTTCTTGATGTCCAACCTAAACCTAAGGTTGGACAACCTAAGCAGAGCTTAGGACTGTATCTTCTTGTCCTACTGCTAGTTGCCTGAGAGAAGGGACTGACTCCCACCTGGCTTTCAGGGAGTTGTAGAGAGTGATGAGGACTTCCCTGAGCCTCCTTCTCTCCAGGCTAAACAACCCCAACTCCCTCAGCTTCTACTCTTAGGACCTGTGCTCCAGTCCCTTCATCAGCCTTGTTGCTCTTCTCTGGACACACTCCAGCACCTCAATATCCTTCCTGAACTGAAGGGCCCAGGACTGGACACAGCACTCCAGGTGTGGCCTCACCAGTGCTGAGTACAGGGGAAGGATCACTTCCCTGCTCCTGCTGGCCACACTGTTCCTGATCCAGGCCAGGATGCCATTGGCCTTCTTGGCCACCTGGGCACACTGCTGGCTCATGTTCAGCTTCCTGTCAATCCAAACTCCCAAGTCCCTTTCCACCTGGCTGCTCTCCAGCCACTCTGTGCCCAGCCTGTAGCGCTGCAGGGGTTGTTGTGGCCAAAGCGCAGGATCCGACACTTGGCTTTGTTGAACTTCATCCCACTGGAATCAGCCCATCTATCCAGCCTGTCCCGGTCCCTCTGCAGAGCCCTCCTGCCCTCCAGCAGATCAACACTCCCCCTCAACTTGGTGTCACCTGCAAATTTGCTAATGGTAGACTCCATCCCCTCATCCAGATCATCGATAAAGATGTTAAACAGGACTGGGCCCAACACTGATCCCTGGGGAAGGCCACTAGTGAATGAAGCCTTTCACTGTGTTAAAATAACTCTGGTACCAAGAACAGTCTAATCTTACCAGGGTGAGGTCAGAAAGTGCTGTTTTACCCTGAAGCAGAATATTTGACTCAAGCAGTAGATGAAATTAATCTCTCCTGATCTCTCCATTGCAACTGCTGGATGGCTTCCAAGGCTCAAGCAGGCCTGTGTAGCATTAGTTTGAATACTTCAGGATTCCTGTGGTCTGAAAAAAGATATATCCTATAAAATGCTGCTTCAGTTCTTCATTCACAGTGCTGGCAGCTCTGCAGCAAGCAGAGGACAGGACAGAGTGGCAGATATTGGTGGTTGAATTTACTGAGCCTTTCCATAGGGCTCAAACCAACTGCAGCTGCCCTGGTCTTAGTTCATCAGTCCCAGATTTTACCCGCTAGAACTGAGATGCTGACAGTTGTCCTAAATCATTAAGCACTGACATGATAATTAAAGAAAAAAATAATTCCCAAAGACACTTGGGGTGTGAGAACTTCTTAATTTCACAGGTATGACATTCTCACACCCACTATCCTGAGTTTCTTACTTCACAATTAATTGAAATCAGATATGGATTTGTATTTTCTGAATGAGAACAGCCCCTCTTCAGCATTTATTTTGTTAAGATAGACAACATGCAGCACAAATTCTGGGGAAAAAAAAAAATAAAAAGGCTCAATGTAGTAATATGGTGAACAGAAAGTTTACTGAAAAATCATTAATTTTTTTTCCCCTCCAGCATAGAACCACTGTATTACTCTACTACATGAACTATTTGCTTTCTACTGTTTGGAGATTCTACAAGTGAAAACAAAAAGTACTAGAAACCTCTAGAGTATTTCCTTAAAAAATTCCTCTTTAGTTGTTCACTTAAATCTTTTCCCAAAGTAGATTTTTGAAGCTATGTTATACTACTATCAAAAAGGTTTGATTCAGCTGATAAGCTAAATGAGACCAATGTCTTTTGTCATGATTTAGAATGAAGAAAAATTAAGCTGCTTTCCATTGTAAGTACTTACATGTTGGGTGTGCAAAAATTTGCCTTAAGTGTTTACAGTGCAAACACTGTTTTTTAAGTAGCCATAATATTCTGAATGCTGTTGCTAAAGCTCAGTTACTCTTTCTTCTTTGTTTTCTGACAGACTGTATGATGAAACATCAGGTAATACACTTTCAGAGCACGAACCATCATCCCATTTTATTGCTTTAATCAGTGTGAAAGGAATGATTTCATTCACTATCCAATTACATTCCTGAGTATGCTCATTTTAATAGGCTCAGTATTTCCCTAATTTATCTGCTAATCATTAGAAACACATTTGGCCTCGGCTCAGAGACTGCTGTGTCCTAGGTTTCAAGCTGGGATTAACACAGTTCTAAGAAATCAAAACAAGTCTGTGTAATGGAATTAGAGTATTTTGCACACACTCAGGTGACAACAAGTAGGGTTGATGGTTTGTACGCTGAGGGCTGTGTTTGCTCATCTCTGCAGGCACCCACAAAGGTCAGGATTTTCACTGGTTGATACAACTTCCTTAGCAGGGTTTAATTACCAGGAAAAAAAGTGCCTACAGTGACAGAAAAGTCAGTTTATCATGTAATTAAATTGGCCTTGCTGGGGTTTAAAGATGTGTTTGTGAACTGGGTGAATATTTGTGTGTACTTTGATTGTAGGGACGATACTGTAAATGGATCCATGTATCTTCTCTGGAATGAAACACGTTTTTCAGACAAATTTACCACCTGGTAGGAGTCAGGCAAGGGTGAGATTAACTTGCAGCATTATCGCAAACTTGTTCAGCATTAATCTGCAAATTGAATTTATAAACCAGGGATTAGTTTTGCTAGGATGCTTTTCCCCACACATGCTCATCTTGCTTATCTAACAGCAAATACTCATTATTTATTTATGGAATTATGGTTATTATTGATTTCTACAGCATTATTTTTAGAACTAAATTTTTATTAGAAATAAGCCAAGCCTGAATAGTGAAATTAAAGGGATTTTTTTTTTTTTTTTAGATGTTAAAGTTTGGACATGTTTTAATTTGGACCTGCCATGAAGATAGTACCAAGAAAAAGGTTTCTAATAAGACTCAGAGTATATTGCTAAATAAGAACTTATCTCAAAAGTAATCTGTTTTAAAATATGATTAGGTGATTTCATAAAACCTTGAGTCTTTATTTCCCTGCAAATGGCACCTCTTGGACTTGATATAATGTTCTGTTTCCTGTTGGCTATAATTAGAGCAAGAAAACCAAGATTCCCAGACCTCCCCGGAAATAGGCTTATTCCCAAAAAGAAAACTGACAACAAGAGTTATTAATGTCCCCAAAAGCAAACTCCTACTCTGCAAGATAAATAAAAATAGTTCAGTTTTCTGCAATACTGTGAGTAGAGTTAGATAACTTGTATAATACCTGGAGTCAAGAGGAAAAGATAAAGAAAAAACTAAAAGTCATCCTATAGACAATGTGATACTTTGTGACAGCTACAATATTTAGCAAAGTACATGTAGAAAAAACAGTTTTGATATCCCTCCAGAACACCTATGAGAGAAATTATACAATTTTAACAGAAGTCCTTTAATTGAGGTAAAATGTCTGGCTTGATCCTCCCTTGGAGAACCACATTTTCATGTTTCAGGATGATACACTTGTTGCTTTTAGCTCTTTATGTTTCTAGTTCTGCAGTGAGAGTTGATTGACAAACAGCACATGCCATATGCCTCCTCCTCACCCTGCAACCAGAAGGTTGGGGTTAAAAGTGAGAGGGAAAAATGGGAGAGGAATAAATGAGAGCACAAGAAATTTGGCACATCAGAAATCTGTACATACAACGAAGTGCTGAATGACGCATTAATGCAAACCACCTTAATTATAAATTATATGTGGTAAATTACAAGATAAAAGTATTTTAGAAACTAAATCCATCCCATATTGGTATGTTGCATTATCCTGAAGTGACCCTGGGCAGCCAAATGTTCTTGCAGTCTGTCCTTGGCTCCTTTTGCATTATGCAGGTTCCTAAGCCAAATTTGCAAAGTTAAACATCTGAGCTGTAAATAAAGATTCCCAAAGCCTACTGTGCTTTCCTTGTTCTAAGAGAACCTTCACAGTATGGCCTCAATTCAACTAAGTACTTAATATGTACTTAAATCCCACTTAAATCAATGGGATTTAAACATTTGCTTAAATGCTTTGCTAAATCATGGCCTATTAAACTGTCTATGTTGGAGATCAAACTGTAATTTATATTGCTGTGATTTCTTCTTCTGGTGCTATATATGACACACCAAACTACATTTCACTATAGCCTTGCTTGACCGAAACTGGAACTGTTTAAAGTGTGCAAGACCTGTATTCCTCATGTGCAAGAAATAGGTTTTATTTATTTTGGTCATCAGCTACTGTAAACTTGTGTTCCTGATAAAGTGAAGTCAAATTAGCCCAGTTAGGAGACAGAATGTTTTTCACACACCATCATTCTGAAGATGAGTAACATGAAATTTTCCTTTTTCAGTAATGATTGCAACCCCTGGTCAATGTGGGAACATACAGTTTTTTACAGAATGTAGACACATGAAAATATTTGAGGAGGAAGAGAGAAGATTTTTATGCTTTGGCTGATTTGTTGGCAATCTCCTCTTGGCTATTTTTTTTCACAAATGCAACTAGGATTGACAAGAAAAACAACCTTTTGTAGCTGAAGAGGCAGCAAGAAAAGAAGTTGCCAAAAGAGCCGTCAAGACTCCCCAAGTAATTTGATGTGTAGGGAAAATATGTTGAAAATATTGCAGCTGTATATACTATAAATTTTTTAGAAGAGAGTCAGATGTCCCTCTATGCCTGGGATGCCCAAAGAGATTACTCTTGCCTTATCACTAGTTTTTCTGAAGAGAGTGAGGGTGAATGGTGGGAAAGTGAGGATACTTCTTGACTTGTCTTGTAATGCAAGCTCTCTGCTTGTAGTGGAAATCAGCCAAAAACACAGCTCATATGCCAAGAAAGCCCAAACGAAGAGATGAGTGGAAAATACCAGATGCTTAAACTTGTCTTGGATTTTCTCAAAGCTGCTAATACTGGTTTTCTGCTTAATTAGCCAAATAAGGGATGAACTGACTGTGCTTCTCTTTCATGTACAGATACTTTTTGGAACATATAAGAATGAGTGAGCCACCTCTCGAGCACTACTGTCCATGTCAGAGGAAGAGATAGCTGTTGGTTTCTCAACATTAAGAGAAGGTAATTGCTGTAGAGCATATTCCATACCCCTCACATACACAGCACCACCAGCCTACCAGAATTGCCCCAAGACTGGGATTCCTGAGACACCTTGCTGTCTGGAAGTTACTTTACGTTTCTGTCCTAGGAGGGAATTACTCTCAATATGCACGCTTTCCCAACCAGACAAGATTTATTTTCAGTCAAAGTGTTGTCTTTTGTTCACAGCTTAGTTTTCTTTTAAGCATGCTAATTTTTCCCCAAGAGATCTTGGTATTTTGTCTGTAACCTCTGGGTGGGGTATGGATGGACAAATAAGTCTATCCCTCTTGGCCATCATGTAACCTTTCCAAAAGGGATGTTTTTTCATGGGCATCTCTAAGCATTTTTGTGCCTCCTGAAAGGTGAGAATGAGTCAAACATGCATTGAGGTTGTTTAAAAGTACAAAACCATGAGACCATACAGACAGGCAATTGAATTTAAGTAAAGAAAAGGTGAGCCTCTCAGCTGAGAAAAGCTGTGATACCAATCATCTGTACTCTTCAGAGTACAGATTCTGGAGAGGAGTAGGTGGGATCAGCATCACTGATATTTATAGTTTACTTTTTCTTTGTGTCACTTGTTTGCCACATAATTAGAAACCCTACAGCACTTGATTAGTCCACTGAGTACATCTGATATGGCCTTTTCTGACTGCAGATGTAAGTGGTCTGAACACACACAATTTCACAATTTCACAATAATTTAAATATTTAATTTCCATAATTGTATAATATGTACATATATATTAATATTTATCACTTATAGAAAAATTAAATACATGCAGCATAGGTTGTGAGTTTAAAATAAATAGATATAAAGATAATGTTTATATTCAGAATAGTTTTATAATAATTTAATACTAGCATATAAAATTAATGTGTCATCATTTGGAAAAAATCCTACTTCAGAATGCAAAACATTCAAAAAATTAGGGTACATTTCTGATTGAAAATGCTTGTTATGTATTAAAATATGTCTCTATCTATCTATAGATTTATAGTGTAGATAGATAGATACAATAAAAGTGTTTCTTAGCAGGATTTTTTAACCTCTACAGTAAACCATTACAGGGCTTCTGTGAAAGGGAAAAAATAGTAATTTATTGAGCAGGGGAAGTAACTCTTTTCTCATACTTCATCTGATAATACAAATTCTTCATCTTTCTCTGTTTATTGAGGAATCTTTTTTTACAGTTTCCTTTGCTCCCAAGACTAGATAAAAATTATCATTACTTTTGAAAATCTTAGAATGTTGCAGTGCACTTTGTTTCACCTCAGAGGCTGATTTGTGAATTGTACATGAAGGTGTTACATGTTTTCATGTTCTTTTTTTTTTTAACATTTAGAATTTCCCCAAATATTTATAACTACCCATTCTTTTCTCACAACTAAGAAGTATAGATATAAAAAACACATCCCCCCTTCTTCGCACTCTTTATCACATATTGAATTAAATTAGAAGGGAAAATGGGAGAGAAATTAAATTGCAATTATGTTTCTTTCTTCAAGTGATCATAATTTGATTTAATTTCTAATAAAATATTAATAAAATATTAACTTTTCTTTGAGAGAAATTCCATTAATGGAACAGTTTCCCAGGGAAACAGAAGCAAAGTGATTAACTGTCATTTCTGCTTCAGTAATGAGATCTTTCCAAAATAAATAGTTTTGCTTGGTTTAGCATTTGTCTCTTATGTATTTATGCACAGGTCTAGAACATCAGCCTATACAGGGTATGTCCTGGACCTTGTTTTGGGGTCTCTTAACTCTCCCTCTTAATTCTCACACTTGTTAGAGGTTGTAAATTAAAAGCAGTGTACAAGAGAATCTCCTTCAGATTCTATAATGAAAAATGGGGAAAAATCATACACAAGTCTAAATTCAGTGACACAATGTCTGAAAGTATTTACAGAAAACACCAAACAAACAAAAAAACCCAAATAAAAAATATGTCCCTGTGCAAGTTCTCATGAAAAGGTTCACAGTTTCTAAATTGGATAATTTTAATGTACTCCTATGGTTGTTTTTCAGTTAGAAAATTGAACTCCAGAAATGTCCCCCTGGCTAAATGAGGCTTTTGCAATGTTGAAATTAATCAATCAACTCTTCAATAAGAGCCAAGCCTCAAATCCACAAGCATGACACAACAGCTAGTAATGGCTATATAAATTGATTTCAGAAGGTTAAATGTGCACATTCAGGGCTTAGAACAAAGTCTCCATGGCCTTATCCAAATGGGATATCTGTGTGACTTACATTGCTTTGCATACACTGTAATAATGAAAATTAAAGGACTGGGTTTAGATGAGGCCATGAAGTTTGATTCATAGTTGAAATTTAGACTAGCGCTTTTTTTTTCCTGATGAACAAAGTCCATGGAAATCTGACACTGAATCATTTTGTTCCCTCCTGCGGCAGAAAAAAGGATGTAAGAAACCCAAAAGTACTAAATAGATGTGTGAGGGTAGATTTTTTTTTTTTGGTTGATACTTGGGCACATTTACAGGATGAAATATGATTTTTTTTGTTAGACCTGGATGAAAATCAAAGTTGGCAATAGCAACAGTAGTTGGCTTCCATGCTGAGGCTGTGGCTGAGGTTGGCATCAATACTTTGACTAAACTTTGGAAGAATCAAGTTGAAAAATGGGTGCATGGTAAGAAGGGGATGTAAATCTCTAAGTAATCACATCCAAAGCCTGACTGGGTAGAAACAGGTAGGCTTTGATATACTGCTTAGCCAGAAGTCTGCTCCAACATAGGTATACTTAATTCATTCGAACAAGTGTAACAGTTCTGAATGGCAGGCAAATCTGATAAAGAGCCAGGTTTCAACCAAGAGTGGGATAGAGGCGGGTTTTGGACAAGTCTGCTGTAGGTTTTCTCTGTGGGACTTTCCAAACTAAAGCTCTTGTTAGATACAGACTGAAAAAAGGGATTCTGGGCTTTGTGACATTTAATATTTGTTACAGAAGAGGTTCTCAGGCTAAAATCAATGTTATGTCCTTCAGAGCTCAGAAAATTTCAGTTATGAAAAGGGCATGTAGGTCTCTCGGGACTAAAGTTTTTGTGCAACCCATGCTAAAACTGTTTCAGATGCATGAAGTAGAATTTGGATTTCAGCTGTTCACATTCAGGCAGAGTGACTAGAAATCCTTGGCTTAGATAGTTGTTTAGGTGGTGTTGATCTTCCCTGTCAGGCTGAGGTTTCCAGGGGTAGGTGACTGGCCAAGCTTTTCATACTAAAGCTTGTGTTCAGAATTATGTATATGTTCCTTGGCTGAATTAGAGCTTAAGACCTGCAGCTGGTGTCAAGCTAGGACATGGAATTGCCAATAATGAAAAAAATCCAAAATTAAAAGGAATGGGTGCTGCAGTGATTAGTCACTGTGAACAGCAAATGACAACCAAACACGGGAAAGATGAAAGGTGTGACAATCAGTGTAATCAGTACAGAAAGCCTAATTGCAGAAGAAAAAATAATCTGATGCTGATGATATGAATTATGTGCAGCATATATCCAAAAACTGAATGAGAAAAAAAATGCAAAATCAGAAACTGGAAGGGGGAAAAAAAATCTAAAAAAAAAAGGGTATTTGTTTAATTTATTTATTTATTTTTAATCCTTTTAAATGAGGTTTTGGCAGATGTCACAAGGATTAGCATTTCTTGATAGAAGTAACTTTTCGGAGTGGCCATGAGCCTTTGAGATAGTTTGAGCCCTTTGCCTGAGACTCCACACGCTCAGCGGCGATGCTGCAGTCTCTGCAGCCACCTGGCGGGGACTCTGTGCGTGGTCACTGAGGCAGAGCCAGGCAGGGACACTCAGCTATTCAGCAGCACAGAACCTTGCTGCTAAAGTCGAATCTCTAGGCTTTGCTCCCTTGTCACAATGAACTTTTACTGGTACAGAGTAAGCAGGGTCCTACAGCATGTCAGTGAGTCGTGACTGTAAACAGTGGTAGGAAATTTCTTATTTAAATTCAAATCCTGGGCTTTTTTTCCCCCACACCTCTAATCACATAGAATTCCTATAGGAGTAAGAATGAAGAACCTGAGGCCCTGGCTGCAAAACAAATGAAGGTCCCTTTCGTGCTGACTCTATATCCATGGTGTTGTGGCAGAGCATATGACTTCCCACAGGAGCCTTGGAAGGGTTGGTCATGTTTGACAGCAGTGCCAATAGGCTGCAAGGCTGAACAGTCTATTTATGTTTCCTACTTCTGACAACTTTGATGCCTTCTGTTTTCTTGGTCTCACTGTTTATAACCTCTCTGTTCCCGTCCTGCCAACTCAGCCAGCCAAATTCGACTTGGGGATGGTATTTCCTTTTTCATAACTGTTACTGTCTTCTTCTCTATGTCTTCTTGGCAGTTTTTTTCTCTGCAAACCCATGAAAGAAAGGATGCTCACTTCTCTGGAAATAGCAATCGCTTTCCTGAGGATTTTGTGTATTCAGCTTACAGGAAGGTAGAGATACAGAAGGAAGATTCCCTCAGAAACTGATTTGTCTCAACAGGATCAAGTGATGCAGGTATAGACCATTCACTTAATGAATTCTTCTCTAAGGACTCCTAATGCCTTTTGACTCTACTTATCTCTGTGTCCCACTGCCAGCAGTCAGCCTTTTGCCACAGCATGTGCAGTTACATATTCCAGCTGAAAGTTCCCTTTCTGCTTCTAGTAATTTGCTGGCAGAAAGGTATCAGAGGTTGTTAACCCAGCCAGGTAGAAATATGTACATCACACTGAATATATTTTTTCTTTTAGTTTCTTAGGGGATATTCCTGCAGATCCCCAGCAAGCTGGCCCCCCACTTCCATCTCCAGGTGAGCTGGCCGTGGTTAACCATCTGCTTGACAACGGGAGGATTCCAGTCCTCAGGTTTGTTTCCTAGTGACCTTGTTTCCTTGATATGGTGATCAGAGTGGAAATGTTTTCTTGCTGATGATTTGTTTCTTTTTTTTCTAAATA